GCGGTGGCCGGGAGCGGCCTCTGCACTCCAGCCTGGGCAACAGAGTGAGACTCCAACTCAGAAAAAAAAAAAAAAAGAAACTGAAGAAACACATTAATGAAAAGACATCATGTATTCATGATTGTAAGAATCAATATTGTCAAGATGTCATATTACCTAAAGTGATCAACAGTTCTAATGCAACCAAATAGAAAAAACAATCCTGAAATTCCTGTGGAAACACAAAAAACTCAAATAGCTAAAGCAGTCTTGAGCAAAAACAATAAAGCTGGACACATTGCACTTCCTTACTTTAAAATATATTATTAATACAAGTTACAGTTATCAAAACAATTTGGTGCTAGCAATAAAACACAGACAAATATAATAGAATATAAAGTCCAGAGAGAAACCTATACATATAAGGTCAATTAATCTTGGACAAAAGTACCAAGAATAAACAACAGGAAAAGGATAGTCTCTTCAATAAATGATGTCAGAAAATCTAGATATCCACATATAAAAAAAAAAATGAAATTGGATCCTTACCTTACACCACACAGAAAAATCAACTCAAAAGGGGTTAAAGGTTTAAATGTAGAACCTGACACTGTAAAACTCCTAGAAGAAAACACAGAGAAAAAGCTCCATGATGTTAGTTTTGGCAATTTTTTTTTTAGAATTGACACTAAAAACATGGGCAACAAACGAAAAAATACTCAAGTGAAACTACATCAAACTAAAAAGTTTCTGCATTGCAAAGAAAACAATGAACAAAATGAAAAAATAATCTTGTGGAATGGGAGAAAATATCGACAAACCACATATCTGATTGGAAGTTAATATCTAAAATATATAAGAAACTCATACAATTTTATATTTTAAAAAAACTCCAAATGACCTGACTAAAAATGGGTAAAGGACCTAAGCAGACATTTTTTTCCAAAGAAGAAATAAACATGGCCAACAGATATATGAAAAAGTGCTCAACATCACTAATTATTTAGAAAATGCCAATCAAAACAATTAGCCACTACGACACACTTCTTAGAATGGCTACTATCAAAAAGTCAAAAGATAACAAGTGTGGACAAAAGGAACCCATATACATTGCTGGTGAGAAGGTAAATTGGAATAGTCATTATGAAAAATAGCAGCAGAGGTTCCTCAAACTATATTAAAGCAAGAACTACTAATACCATATGATCCAGCAATCCCACTACTGGCTATCTATCCAAAAGGAATGAAATCACTGTCTTGAAGAGATTATCTGTATTCATTACAATATTACAGTATTCACAATAGCTAAAATACAGAAACAACCTAAGTGTCCACTAACAGCTGAATAGATAAAGAAAATGCCAATTTATATCTATATACACATACATACACACGATAGATTATTCAGCCTTAAAAAAGAAGGAAATGGAAACCTGAAGGACATTATGCTAAGTAAAACAAGGCAGACACAGAAAAGATAAACACTGTATGACCTCAGTTTTATGTGGAATCTAAAAAAGTCAACCACATAGAAACAAGACCAAAAAGGTGGTTACCAGAGATCTAGCAGCGGGGGAAACGAGAATATTGGTCAAAGGGTATATTCTTGCTGATATAAGATGAATAAGTTTTAGAGACCTAATGTATAACATGGTAACTACATTTAATGCTGACATGTTATATACTTGACTTCTGCCAGGAGAGCACATCTTATATACATAGAAGTTACTGAGATGACAGGTATGTTAATTAGCTTGATTGTGGTAATCACTTCACATGTACAGGTATAGCAAAACATGTTGTATACCTTAAATACAAATAATTTTATCAATTATGTCCAAAAAAACCTGGGAAAAAATGCTCTAGGAAAACAAATGCGAATTACAAAAGCAAGCAAGAGGGAGAATAGATATAATAAGAGTGGCACAATGGTGATAATCACTGATGAAGGGTGGTGGATACACAATGGCTTCACCATAGTATTCTATCCCTGGGTATGTTTGGAAATGCATAAGAATTTTGTTTGGTTTTTTTCAGTTGGGGTCTCACTCTTATCACCCACGTTCGAGTGCAGTAGCACACTCACGGCCACTGCAGCCTCGACCTGCTGAGCTTAGGTGATCCTTCTACCTCAGCTTTCCAAGTAACTGGAACTACAGATGTATGCCACCATGCCTGGCTAGTTTTTGTGATTTGTGGTAGAGATGAGGTCTCACTAAGTTACCCAGACTTGTCTGGAATCCAAGTTACCCAGGCTTGTCTGGAATCCCCGGGCTCAGGTAATCCTTTAGCCCCTGCCTCCCAAGGTGCTGGGATTACATGTTGAGTCACTGTGCACAGCCTTGTTTGTTTGTTTTTTTTAAAGAGACAGAGTCTCACTCTACTCTCCAGGCTGAAATGCAGTGGCACAATCACAGTTCACTGCAGCCTTGATCTCCTGTGCTCAAGTATCCTCCTGGCTTAGCTACCCAAGTGACTGGGACTACAGGTGCATGTCACCACGTCTGAAAATGTGTTTATTTTTGGTAGAAATGTGGTCTCACTATCTTGCCCAGGCTGGTCTCAAACTCCTGGCCTCTAGTGATCCTCATGTTTCAGCCTCCCAAAATATTGAGATTACAGGCATGAGCCACTGCACCCAGCCATGAAAAGTTTTAAAGGAAATAAAGCTTCCATACCAAAGTGTACAGCCAGGAAATATACTTTTTTAGGTGTAGCAGAAAATCTCTCTTGAGAAACTTTAATCACAAATGGCTCTCTTTTAGGTTTCAATCCAAGTTCACATTATCCGTACAGTTCAAAAAACCTCAAAGAGGGGCTGGGCATGGTGACTCAGCCTATAATCCCAGCACTTTGGGAGGCTGAGGTGAGAGAACTGCCTGACCCTGGGGGTTCAAGACCAGCCTGGGCAACTTGGTGAGACCACGTCTCTACAATAAATAACACACACACACACACACACACACACACACACACAATACTAACCGGTCATGGTAGCATGCATCTGTAGTTCCAGCTACTTGGAAGGCTGAGGCAGAAGGATCACCTGAGCCCAGCAGGTCGAGGCTGCAGTGGCCATGAGCATGCCACTACACTCCAGCCTGGGTAGCAACACTGAAACTCCAACTCAAAACAACAAACCAAAAATAAACCTCAAGAGAATTGTCCCCAAGCAAGCAGCAAACGGACCTATTTCCGGAAAATGCAATTTTAAGTCAGGTCTCAAAGAATCCTTACATATAAAGTTCTAAGGAAACTGAGAAAGTCACAGTTTAAAAAATTTTCAGCCGGGTTTGGTGGCTCAGCTTGTAATCCCACGCCTTGGGAGGCTGAGGTGAGTGGATTGCCTGAGTCCGCGGGTTCGAGACCTGCCTGGGCAACTTGGTGAGACCTCATCTCTACAATAAATAAAAAAAAATTAGCCGGGCATGGTAGCACACGCCTGTAATTCCGGCTACTTGTAAGGCTGAGGCAGAAGGATCGCCAGAGCCCAGCAGGTCAAGGCTGCGGTGGCTGAGAGTGGCCACTGCACTCCAGTCTGGGCAACAGAGTGAGACTCCAACTCAAAAAAAAAAAAAATTTTGAAACACAAATAGAAAACATATACCACTTGTGAAAAGCAACCAAAACACAGGCAGCAGGGGGAAAAAGCAAATCACTTCAGGTATTACACTTTTAGATGTAAAATGTAAAAAACTCTATTTAATAGACTCAAAGAAATTTAGACGCCGGATGCAGTGGCACATACCTGTAATCCCAGCACTTTGGGAAGCCAAAGTGGGAGGCTCACTTGAGGCCAGGATTTCAAGATCAGTTTAGGAAACATAGTGAGATTCCCATCTCTACAACAAAAGCAGTGATGGCTCAAGCCTGTAATCCCTGCACTTTGAAAGGCAGAGGCGAGAGGATTGCCGGAGTCTAGGGGTTCGTGACCAGCCTGGGCAACTTGGCAAGACCTCTTCTCTACAATACATCAAAAATTCACCAGGTGTGGTGGCACATGTCTATAGTTTCAGCTACTTGGAAGGCTGAGACAGAAGGATCGCCTGAGCCCAGCAGATCGAGGCTGTGGTGGCCATGAGCGTGCCACTGCCCTCCAGACTGGGTGACAAAAGTGAGACTCTGACTAAAAAAAAAAAAAAAATTCCAGGATCAAGTGCTGTGGCGTATATCTGTAATCCCAGCACTTTGGGTGGCAGAGGTGAGAGGACTGCCTGAGCCTGAGGATTCAAGAACAACCTGGGCAACTTGGTGAAACTTTGTCTCTACAATAAATAAAAAAATTAGCCAGGCATGGTGGCATGTGCCTGTAGTCCCAGATAACTTGAGAGGCTAAGGCAGAAAGATTGCCTGAGCCCAGGAGGTCGAGGTTACAGTGAGCTGTGAGAGTGCCACTGCAATCCAGCCTGGGCAACAGAATGAGACCCTGACTCACAAAAAAGAAAAAAAAAACCCTCTAAAATTCCTTAATTATTTCTCTATGGACTCTTTTTTGATATTCAAATGTAAATCAATTTATCGTGCCATATTAGTAGACCAGAAAGAGATAATCAATTGGCCTCTCAAAATGAAAAAAGTATTTGACAAAATTCATTATCCATGATTTTTAAAAATGAAATTTAAATTCAGTAAGCCTAAGAAAAATTTTATTTATTTTTGAGTTGGAGTCTCACCCTAGCGCTGGAGGGCAGTGGCATGCTCATGGTCACCCCAGCGTCAACCTGCTGGGCTCCAGCGATTCTTCCACCTCAGCCTTACAAATAGCTGGAACTACAGGCATGCCCTTCCACGCTCAGCTAATTTTTGATTTATTGTAGAGATGAGATCTCGCAAAGTTGACCGGGCTGGTCTCGAACCTGCGGGCTCAGGCAATCCACCCGCCTCAGCCTCCCAAAGTGCTGGGATTACAGGCATGCCCTTCTACGCTCAGCTAATTTTTGATTTATTGTAGAGATGAGGTCTCGCAAAGTTGACCGGGCTGGTCTCGAACCTGCGGGCTCAGGCAATCCACCTGCCTCAGCCTCTCAAAGTGCTGGGATTACAGGCTGAGCCACCAAGCCCAGCCAGAAAAATTTTCAACGTGATAATGGTCATCCATAAAAAATTGAAAAGTTAACGTGATACTTACGGTGACAAGTGACTGCTTTTTAACTATATTGCAAATGAATAATAAAGTCATATTGAAAGATGAAAATAACCTAAGTGAATCTGGAAAGCAGTATCTTGAATATACAATCTAAGCAATGAAAAATTTGTACATAAATAACAGTTAATAAATATATTTTCCACAGGGGTGTGAATTAGCGATTAAGAACTATTTTATTTGTATTCTAAGATACAATAAGTAATATATTGTAGAAAACATCAACAAGATGGCAGAGTAGAAAGCCCCAGCACTCTGCTCACCCAAAGAAACCTCCAATATAATAACATCATTGGGATCAAAATAACTTGAAGAGAAATCCAGAATCTAGTTAATAAACCCCAGAGGAGTATAGAGAGCAATTATATTTAGATGGGTAAGAAAAATTTCACCTTACCCACATCAGTCCCTCACCCAGTGAGACCAGCCTGGGCAACTTGGCAAGACCTCATCTCTACAATAAATCAAAAAATTAGCCAG